TACAAGAAGACATTAGCTAGACAGGGAAAGCTTGAAAGAGTCATGCAGAGAGTATAGCATGTGCAAAGGCCCAGAGAGGGCCAGATAGCATGTTACACTGGTTGCAAACTATGTGCATTGGAGGTGGTTGAGGGGTGAGAGAGAGGTCACAGCTAGAGCCTTGTCCAGATTTCTTGCCCTGTGAATCTGCTCCAGGTTCTTCTGGAAGTGGGCAGGGAGGAGGTGCATACAGAGGCCCCGCAGAGCCAATGTGGCCTGTATTTAGCAACTGGTGCTAGGTTCAAGTGAGCACTCACTAGTCGTGGGGGTTCCTTGAGCAAGAGGGGCTGGGTGGCTCAGTTTCAGGCCATCTCCTCAAGCAGACGTGCATGAGCAGATGAGGCACAAACTGCAGAGATGGGCAGATGTGGTCGATCTTGATTCTGTGGAGACAGGTAACTTTGGACAAATCACTTTCTGAGCCTCAGTTTCCCATGGCTCAGTTGGGAATATATCATTTACCCTAGAAGGCTGCTGATGACATTGCTTTTCTCCCTTCCCATTCCCTTACAAGAAGATTCCAAATGGTCACTCTAGATGAGGCCCAAGGAGATCACTTTGGTACCCAAACTTGCTTTCCCCAGTTCATTTTGGTCAGAGTGTCCAAAATATGGTTCTGAATGCATCAACTGCTGCTTGCGGAAAAAAGCACACGTTTCTTAGTAAGGCATTCAAGAAATCTGAAACTTTTTAATATAGTCTTAGCCCCCATTCATCCATCCAGCCGTCTGGCTGGCTGTCTTTCATCTCTGTGTTCAGCCACTTACTCACTCAACAAACACTCATTTCTTGTCTCATCTCTCCTCCTCCTTTTCTTTCTTCTTATGCTCAGTCTCTCTAAATGGCCAGCTTCCTTGACCTCATGTTTGTGTGAACAGGCTCTTCCTTCTGTTCAGTGGGTGGGTGGGCTGGGATGTTCCCCTCCTTTGCCTCCTTTTTCTTCAAGGACAAACACGAAAGTCTCTCCCTTCGTGAAGCCTCCTGCCTTATCAGCTATCCTTCTGGTCTTCCACTCCTAATGGCTTATCTTTTGATGGGACATGTATTCCACAGCATTGTTTTTGTGTCTGTCTGTTACCCGCTGACCTCTACTCTACTCCAGCAGGGTGGCCTCTTTGTACAGTTGTTTAGGTTGTACACTGCACAGGAACACCAAGCTGAGGAATGTGCCCTAATGTGGGGGCTATACCTCCCTAGAGGGAAGAGTGTTTTTTCTAATTCATACAAAGGTACCTGTTCTCAAAGTGATGAGCTCAAGTGGCTGAGCCTACCCAGAGGGGGCACCTTTTTCTGTTTCCTACTCAGGGGTCCTTTGAGCTAGTGGTGGCCTTGCTCTGATTCTAAGTCTCTGTAGGCCAGAACCACATTGTCTTCATTCATGTTCCCCCAGCTCCTAGAATAGCAGTGCCAGGCCCCAGAGACCTCCAGAAATGTTCCTGGACTTGAAAGGAGAAGGCTTTCAGTAGTGAATCTCTGTTCTCGGGGCCTTGGAAGGGCAGGACTCATGCCTATCTTGTAGGGAGACGAGGCTTCCGAGTTGACGCAGTGGTGATGGCAGGTTTGTTTGGAAATTCCCCAGTAAGTGGTGTTCTGGGCCTGTCTCCCAGGGACCTTGAGAGCTTGCTGGAAGACCTGCAGACCAGGGCTCCTCCAAATATTTTTTTAAACTGATTGATGCCACGCCAGGCAGGGAAGGGACAGGCATTTTTCATACATGAAAAACAATACATTCTGGGGCCAAGATGAAATTATTTTACATTTATACGATAACAGGCAGGGAGACAAAGACGATGTTTGAGGATGTTTAAACCCTCAAAATCATTAGTCACTGTCCCGACGGGCTACACAAATAAATGATCAATGCACAGAAAAACAAGGCCCTCTGAGGTGTTTGCCCAAGACCACTTACGTGTCAAACAGACTTATTAGATGTGAAGGGAATGATTATTTGTACAAAGTGAAATGAACATGTGCAATAATATTGTAAAATGTTTATTAGTCTAGAGTGTGCTGAATGTTCCTAAAATATATCAGGTTCTCAGCTTGCATTTAATGTACTGTTATAAATGATATCACATCCTTCCAAGCCGATTTTCCGCTTAACGCTAAGCTTCTTTGCTGGGGAAATCGTGTTTTCAGATCCCAAGTATGAAAACATTGTGGGGTTAAACTCTCCCTTCTACTCCCTAACCCCCACCCCAATCAGTTACCTCCCTATAAAACTTGTCCTGAGTCTGGCTGGGAGGGAAAGGGCAGTTGGTCAGACCAGATGGTGGTTGGAAAAGGAAAAGGGGGTGAATGAGTTATTGTGGTGGGGACATTAGGCTGGAAGTCCAGCGATTTAGATTTCAAGATCTGCTCATTAATCTCCTGCTGTGTGACCTTGGGGTAGTCCCTTCCCCTCTCTGGGCCTTAATAAGCTCCATCAGAAAATGGGAATAATGTCTAAAGAAACTCCCAGAGCGAAACATTTACATATTCTAAATCCCACAAGTCATGAGTCTGAAAGATAAAAAGAGATTCTGGAAGTGAACAAATAAAGTGCTATAGAAAAGTTCTTAATTCTTTTTCTATGATTCTGGCCAATTCTTACCCATTATGGCCCTGACCAAATGTCCCCTCCTCTGGGAAGCCTCTGAACCCCTAAGCAGCCGGTCAGACTGTCATCTTTGCTCTAACAGTGCCAAACCCTCATGTCCCTTATTGCCCCGCCAGTTCGTGGTATTGCCGCATCTCTCTCTCTGTGTGAACAGGCTCTTCCTTTGGTCAGCGGGAAAGCTCTGAAGGAGGGAGAAAGTGGCCTCGTTCTCTGCTCTGCTTAGACCAGCAGGACTCTCCTCTCTCAACGAGTCGTCTGCCTCCATGGACGCAGCCTCTGAGCTGGCCAGCTTCCTGGCATGCCCGTCTAGCTGTCAACTTGCTCTGAACTGAGGTCCCCCAAAGATCCCCAGACCTGGGCCAGGCACAGAGCTGGTACTCAGGAAATGGTTAGTGGATGCTGGATGGCAGGGAGCTGAGCTGGTGTGACCTTTGGAGGTTATCCCCCCGACCTGCATGTTAAAGATGGGAATTTCATCCCAGAGTAGGGAAGGGATTGGTTTAGGGGCTACTCAGGCATCTTAGAGAAGGGTCAGAGAGAATGTTTCCCATAACATGTCAACTCCCCACCCGAGAAGGAGGGGTAGAGGAGCCCAGCCAAATCCACGTCCTTGGCCCTGAATTGGGGTGGGAGGTATTGGTAGTGGGCAGTTCTTGGCATCAGCTAAGAGCACAGGGCTGGCTTTGGAGGTTGTGGAGGTGGCTGGGGACATGGGGGGTTTCCAGTTTCTGGCTGAGTCACATCCCCCTCCATTCCCCTGCCCCCCAAGTTTTGCTCAAGGGCCCCCGGGAGGGTGATCTTCTGTGAGCTCAACTGATGGTCTGGGGATCTTTTGGGGACCTCAGTTCAGAGCAAGCCGACAGCTGCACATCCATGCCAGGAAGCTGGCCAGCTCAGAGGCTGCGTCCATGGAGGCAGACGACTTGTTGAGGGAGGAGAGTCCTGCTGGTCTAAGCAGAGCAGAGAACGAGGCCACTTTCTCCTTCTTTCACAGCTTTCCCCAGAGAAGACTGAAAGCAATCTCTATGGAAATATATACTAAAACACAGGAAAATACAGTTAGGGGTAAGCATTCCAGACAAAGATTAAAGAGTGGAGGAAGGCAGGGTGGATGCTGGAGTGAGGCTCTGAAGCAGCGACCCTGCCCTGAGGTGGGCCCTGTGTGCTGTGGAGGCAGGTCATTGTGTCACTCCAAGTGTCCCTTTCTTCTCCTTATTCTTTTGCTCCACCTTCTCTACTTTCCCCTCCTCTTCCTCCTCCTCATCTCGTCCTTTTTTGTCTTTTCACAGAGTTTAGTAAAGCAGTCTTTGTAATACAAAAAGAAGTGTTCCTGTTTAAGTTGAACCCCAGGTAACTGTTAGGGTGCTTGGGGCATAAGGAGATAGCCAGGCCCCAGCATGAACTGTGGGCAGCCTGGGCAAGTGTTTTCCCGACCATGGCAGTGGGCAGTGGTGAGTTCAAGGTTATCCCTACTGAAGTGCAGTGCCGTATCGAGCATCTTGTAACGAGTGCCTTCTACGTGCCAGGCATTTATTGGGTACATCTTACATTAACTCAGTTAATCCTCACAACCTCCATTCAAGGTGGTTCTTCTTATTCTCAAGGTCACAGGCAGAAGACGGAAGAGCTGGTTGTGGCACCATGTCCTCGCACTCCCAGGCTAGCTCCTGGCAGCCCCACTCCTGTCTCACTGTATGACCCTGGGCGTTCCTATGGTCCCAACTCTGGATTTTCTCATCTGTCCGTGAAGGCCATGTGTCCCTGAGAATTCCTTCACTTGGATGGTCTGAGTAGCTGAGTCCCCCTTTGCAGTGGGCTGAGGGGTGCACAGGGACTACCTCTTGTTTTACCTTAAATAACTCCTCACCTTTGTCCCTTGAGCAGAAGCTCCTCCTGCCGGTTGCCCTTAGAACCTGTCCCTGGATTGGGCTTCTCCCCCAAACTCCCTTCCCAGAGAGACTGAGGCTTACGTGTCACCTGCATTCCCCAAGCAGGGCTGGAACCTCAAGATTTAGCAACTGAATCAACTTCTTAGGCTGCTGTGGATGCGCCAGGCTAGGTGATGGAGTGGATTAGGGATCGGGATAGAATATTCTCTTGCTTTAAACCCCACTAATTACACTGCAGTCCAAATTCCTTGCCATGCCCCTACATGACTGGGCTCCTGCTTCCCCTCTGACCTTACTTCCTGCTACTCCCACAGGGTACTCAGCATTCCCTCACATCAAGACAGCCCTTACAGCCTCCATGTTAGTGAAACCCACCCAAGCTGCTGCAATTGATCCAGCTCCCAGATTTCTGTGGCTTAGCCCGATAGTTGGCTTCTTGCTCATGTTAAGACTCTAGCTGCTCCAGGGCAATCATGGCACATCATGGCCTCACAGTGCCTCTCATCGCGATAAGTATGTTCTGGGGCTTCGTCAGTTTCTCCGTTTCCTGGTTCATCCCTAAGAGTCTTAGCAGGGTAGTTATCATCACCCTATTGGTGACCTGTTCAATTTGCTGCTCTTTTTTTTTTTTTTCTTTTGAGACAGGATCTCACTCTGTTGCCCAGGCTGCAGGGTAGTGGCGTCATCTTGGCTCACTGCAGCCTCGACCTCCCAGGCTCAGGATCCTTCTCCTGCCTCAGTTTCTTGGGTAGCTGGGACAACAGGTGCATGCCATCATGGCTGGCTGAATTTTTGGTATTTTATGTAGAGATGGGGTTTTACCATGTTGCGCAGGCTGGTCTTGAACTCCCGGGCTCAAGCAGTCCTCTTACTTCTGCCTCCCAAAGTGCTGGGGTCACAAGTGTGGCCCACCGCACCCAGCTACTGCTGTCTCTTTTGGCTGATTGCAATTCTTTCTCATCTCAGTCTTCTCTTTGGACCACAGTTAAAAAATGAAACCAGCTGGTATCTGAAGCATCACTTCCTTGAGGAAGAAGACATGCTCTATAGTGCTAGCCGTTGAGGTTCCGAGAAGAGAATTCCATCTAGATGCAAAATCTCCTCCAGATGGAGACCTTCTTTCTTGACTTTCCTGTTTCCAGCATCAGCTGCCTTAAACAGTGGTACCACATCTGAATATCTTGTCCTATTTCCTCCTTCACTTTTTTACTTTGACTTATGTGTCTACCTAACCTAAACTGTGCTGATGCCATGAAACGTTTATGCACTCTTCCGAGAGACGATGCTTTTCTGAGAATATTTTATTCTCTCCTTGGAATCTGTGGATTTGAAGATGGCTCCTGTCTTCTCGTAACATGGGAATCAGTGAAGTGTTTAAAAACTGCTGCAAGATAAACAAGACTGCAATGGGCAGTCAGTAGGAGAGCATGCTCAGAGAGAGGCTGTGTCACAACACTTACACCAAAGTATATTTTCAGGACGAGCTTCTTACCTCTTCCATCTCTTGGAATAAAATGTTTTTCTACTTCCAAAATAAAACAAAGTCTAATGCAAGTGTTCTTGCTCCATGTGGTGATTCAGGGACCCAGAGGCCTTGCATTTGGTGGCTCTGCCATCTGCTGGGGTGCTGGTCCTCTGTGCTCAGCTGGTGGGGGCAGGGAGCAGAGGCAGAGAAGACCACAAGGGGGGGTTTTCTGACTTGAGCGTAGTCCTTCGTAGAACCTAGTCATACAACCACATCTAACTGCAAGGAAGGCTGGGGAATAGACTCCAGCTGTGCACCCAGGATAAAGTACAAATGTGTTTAGTGAACAGCTAGTTTGTTCCTGCTGTAGCCTCAGAAACCTTTTGCTTTACCTCCACCAGGCCTGAGGGATGGGCAGCAGAACTAGCAGCCCCCTGCTGCAGATGCAGAAACAAGGCTCAGACAAGCTGTTTACCTTGCCCAAGGCCACATAGTGAGTTGGTGTCAGAAATCATCTCTTGGCCTAGAGCCTGTGCTTCTTCAGCAGGAAGCAGCCTGGCCACCCCACCCTGAGCATCCCCCACTGGTCTGGCCCTCCCCTGAGGCCTTTACCAATCTCCACCTTGTGTCAGAAGTCACCAGGGACCTGGTAGTTTCTGGTCCAGGGGTGAGCTTCTGTGGGGTGTTTGTACCTGCAGTACGCATCTAGCTCACTCCATGGAGTGGGGCCTGGTATGGGCATAGCACAGAAGACTGAGCATAGAGAGGCTTGCTAAAACCTCAGAAGGAATGAGAGGTCAATGAGAGGAAGACAGGTGAATGGGTGACAAGTGAACTTGCTGAGCAGTGGTGTGATATCTACAGCACTCTGCTGCTGAAGTCTGCCTCTCCCCACCACCCACCAAACCCTGGCAGCATCAAATCCCGGTTCCACCTCTGTGCTCATGATTGCGCCCCTCCCCTATGGCCCTCCAGCGGCCCCTTCCTGTCCCATCTCCCATGTGCTGCAGCCACAAGGGCCTGCCCAAGTGTTCCTGCCTGGGCTGAGGTCTTCTGTGGCCCCTCCAGGGGCACAATCACCTTCTTCCAACCTGCTCTGTGCCTGAGGCTGACCTGTGTGTCCCATCACTGGGCTCTGTGGAGTCAGGCCTCCAATTGGGTTTGGGCACTGTGAGGCACCCACAGAGACAGAAGTGGTATGGGTCAGGGTCTTTATTCCCACAGTTCTCTCCCTATAGGTGTCTGGGACTGGTGCTTCTAGCAGAGGCCATCACTCCTCCCAAGGAAGCTGACTCTAAGTTCCAGCACTCACTCCTTACCCTCTTCCCTTCGGGGTGATAACAGTTCTGTTGCTCCTGGTCCAAGGCTACTGCTGTATTCCTTGTGTTCCTTTCACAATAGCCTCAATGTAAAGAATCTCTCCTCGAATCCCTGCCTCCCTTTCCTCCCTCCCTTCTTCCCTCCCTCCCTCCTTCCCTCCCTTTCTCCCTCCCTTCCTCCCTTCCTTTCTTCCTTCTTCCCTCCTTCCTTCCTTTTTTTTTTTTGAGACAGAGTCTCACTCTGTCACCCAGGCTGGAATGTAGTGGCATGATCTTGGCTCACTGAGACCTTCGCCTTCAGGGTTAAAGTGATTCTCATGCCTCAGCCTCCCAAGTAGTTGGGATTACAGGCATATGCCACCATACCTGGCTAACTTTTATTTTTCTTTCATAGAGATGGGGTTTCACCCAGGCTGGTCTCAAACTCCTGACCTCAGGCAATTTGCCCACCTCGACCTCCCAAAATTCTGGGATTACAAGCGTGAACCACCGCGCCTGGCCTGAATTCTCCTATCTGTGGTGTGCTCCTGTTTCCTGTTGGGATGCCAACCTGCGCCTCTCATCTTAGGGCCTCTTACTTGCTGTTTCCACTGCCTGGTGTGCTCTTCCCTCATGTCTTTATATGGGCAACTACTTTTCTGCTTTAAGATCTCAGCCTTACTGCCATTTTCTCAGAAGACCTTCCCAGAGAGAGGGGTCACCTCTAGCCAAAGGTGTCCCCCTCACCCCAGCCATTCTGAATCCCATAGCCCTAGATGATTTTCTTCCTGGTATTTGTCAGTGTTTGCAAGGTTTGTCTGGTTTTCTTCTCTGGAATGCAAGTTTCATGAGGGCTGAGGTTTTTATCTGTCTTGTTTTCTTCTGTATCCCCCAAGCCTAGGACAGTGTCTAGCACCTAGTAGGTACTTATTATAAGTGTTTATTGAATTTGTAAATGAAACAGATTCAATATGTAAACCAGCGAGTAGCATAAATGAATAAATGAATGCATAGATTGGCAAGTAACTCATCTGAATGAATGGATGAATGAATTGGGCAAATGCGTAACAAATGAATGAACACATTGACATAGACAGGCACCTAGGGAGAATGCCATGTGAAGATGAAGGCAGGGATTGGGGTGATGCCTCCTCAAGCCCAGGACTCCAAAGATTGCCAGTAAGCCCCCAGAAGCTGGGGGAGAGGCAAGGAACAGATTCTTCCTCACAGCGTTGGAAGGAACCCACCATGCCCATACCTGGATTTTGGACTTCTAGCCTCCAAAACTGTGGGACAATCCGTTTCTGTTTGTGAAGCCACCCAGTCTGTAGTGCTTTTTATGGCAGCCCGAGCAAAGGAATAAACTGTGTCTAGTCTTCAGGCTCTAGAGCTTTAGAGGTGATGACCTACAGTGTACAGGCGGCAAGAGAGTGGGCTGGCAGCTGGGGACAGCCCCAGATCTGCCACTGACTTGCTGGCCTGGTCTTCCTGCCTGCGAACTGAGGGGTGGGACTGCAAGATTTCTAGAGTCCTTCCCAACCCTGACTTTTCCTACTTGAGGAGCTGTGAAGAGGAGGCCAAGCAAGGCCAGGCAGCACAACCCAGGTCACCCAGAGGGTTAATGGGACGTGGTCCCAGGAACAGCCTCTTGCCAATTGCATAATGATTGCTCCTTTGCCCGAGATGCCTTCCAGCAGAATCTACAGCAAGCCTGACCTTCTCTGATCCTCTGTTATCCGCCCCTGAGTGGCCCTGGTGCTGTGTGGGTCTGATGAGGCCCTGGCTATTTGGCTTCCTGCAGGAGGGAGTATGAGAAGGGCCCTGCTGGTGTCCTGCGAGTTCTTGCACTGCCTCCCTAGGCTGGCTAGATAGAAGGCAGAGGCCTGGGACCCACTGTGCAGTGGCATAATATGTCTTTGTCTGGCCAAGGCTTCTGGGGATCATGGAGGCTGATCACATATCCATCCTCCCCCAGTATTTTCTTGGAGTCCCTGGCAGGAGGCTTGATGTCCTGGCTGGCCTGCTGACTTCCCTTCCTGCCTTACTCCAATGCCTTCTTAGAATCAGCCCAGGGACTCAGGCTGGTCCACACCAAATGGACAGCAGCATTTAAAAACTAACGGTTTGCAGTTGTCAGATTGTTGCTGAGTGGCCTTCCGGCTCCCTTGCCTTTCAGTGTCTGAGTGTATCCAAGGTAGGTCTACAGTGAGGTGCGGCAAGGCTCTGTCCTCACTGGGCTGCTGGGCTGCTTTCGGTTGTGTTTCATGGAGCTGGAGCAAGAGTAGAGATGCTGGTTGGCTGAATGGGATGCACAAAGATTCAGTGTTTGAAAACATGGATCTTAAAAATGACAATTTGAGTATAGGGTGGTGAGTCCTGTTTCACAGGTTTTGTATGAAAAAAATCTGGAGGTCATAGTGGCACCCAAGCTCAGTGCAAGATGACAATGCCAGAGTAAGGAAGCACAACTGAGGCTGCCTTAATGGTGCTATGCAGGGAGGTAGCAAGTCTGTTGTCTCCGACTCACCTGATGAGCTATTTACCCAACATAGAATTCTGGCTGCAAGCTTCCAGTGACCGGGAGTTCTCTCTTGCTGGCTTGTAGTAGTTTTGTCAAAGTTCTTCTTTGTATTCTGCTTCCTTGTAATTTTATTCAGAAATGTTTTCAAGTACCTACTGGGTGCCATACTGTTTTTCTCTCTGTGACACTCATTAAGCTTATCTACCCCACCTGTCCACTGAAAGTCTGTGATTTCAGTGACCCCATCTTTCATGCCTTGTCTTCCCTAGAAAGGACAGCCATTCCTCCTGCATCAGTTTTTCCCAGGACAGGGCTTGGTGAACCTTTCCCTCCTGGCTGTGGCTCCCTTTATTCTTCACCCATTAACCCTTATCTTGAACTCCACGTGGAGCCTGCTGAGACCATCACCTCCCGTGCCCTGAGATGCCACTTCTATTGTGGAAACAGAGGTGGGAGGCCCAAGTACTGCGAACCTCTAAGCCTCACTGACCAGAACGTTTAACCTTGGATGTTTCTTCAGCAATGGCTCGCTGGTCCTTGCCTGAAGGGACTTGCATTAAAACACACACTGAATTAGAGAGCTGTGCCCTCTTTCAGCCGCATCCTGGCTACACCCTTTCCTCTCCTCTTCCTCCAGAAATGACTCTTTCCCTTTCTCCCTGATTAGGGCTTTCCAGTTTCAACCTATCTACACTGCAAAGGGTTAAAAACTTGGAGTGTGTAAAGCCCAGCTCAGAAAGTCTCTTTTTGTCTCTGGGACTCAGTTTCCCTATGTGTAAAGCGAGGGGGCCAGTCTGGCTCCTCTCTAAAGCCCCTTCCAGCCCGGATATCTGGTGTGCTGAGTGCATAATGTGGGCATTTCCGCTCTCATGACCCGCCAGCGGGACCGAGGTTTCGGTGGCGCCACTCACATCACACACGGCGTAGGCGGCCCTGACTCTGCCGAAGCCTCCGCCAGGAAGCCGACGGGGAGAAAAGTCCTCCCTGCACCAGCTGTGGATTTCAGGGAGAGGCACCCACCCACCGGGAGAACAAACATTAGCATCCGTGTGGTCACCACTTGGAGGTGCACAGATGAGGGCTAATCAAAGGCAGGGAGAGGTGTGTTTTTGTCAGTGAATCCCCTTGGCTGGGGAGCAAATCTCCATCTTGGCAGGAGGGACTCTTACTTGATCAGGGCTGAGTTCTACGAGCGACTGTAAATTCTCAGTAAAACAGCCCCGTTGGGCCTAATTTCAACCACTTAACCCAGA